AAGTGTCCTTGGGCAAGATACTGAACCTGAAGTTGCTCCCAATGGCAGGCAGCACCTTGCATGGCAGCTCATTAGTGTATGAATGTGTGTGTGAATGGATAAATGAGAATCACGTTGTAAATATATAAGTGCAGACCATTTACCAAGATTCTTATCTGATCAAAACATTGTGTGCTCTCATAAATAAACATTTAGAATGAGGGAAATGTACAGGTTGGACTCAACGTGTTGTTTCTGCTGCACGTTTCTCGCAGTGAAGACGCTCCTGGAGCTGCATGTTTTGTTCAGCTAGTTTATGTCGATGCCTCAGTTTAGACAGACCAGCATACATCAGTTTCCCCACTCTTCCGCCTTTCCCACCCTAATCTTATTTAGTCATTCAGCGCTGATGTTCTTTCCACTATCAACGATTTATAATGAAGTCATCTCTGCTGCTCAATCTAATCTCCGAGCAGCGCCCCAGATATAAATAGAAAAAAAAAGCACTAAACAAAAACAAATTGACCTTGAAGGGGCTTTTTTTCACCTGTAGGTTCAAGTGTTTTTCGACAACAATGCTTTAAATACATTTCCGCTGCTGTGCAGAGATCCTCTGATTAATCCTTTCATTTGAACTGTTTATTGTGGAGGAGGAAAAGAAACTCAGTGTATGTGCTGCGTGTGATTAATGTGTCAGGAAAGAAAAGTAAGAAGTGAAATGTGCAAATATAGAAATAGGAATAAACGATAAGCCGGTGACAGTCATTGTCTTTTTTGGTTGGATGGTACGTTTTAATCAAATCTGTCTTTGAGAACCGTTATTAACAGTAATGGTTGCTTTTAGTTGAAATATGACATCAACAAAATAAATAAAAATCAGTATAATTTGTGTTCTTACGTCTTTATTTAATAGCACTTTTACAAGCAGCGTTTCAAAGTGCTTGGAAAACAACTAAAGGACAAAACTCACAGCAAAAGCAAGCAGGTAGCAGTCAAAGTAATAAACAGGACCGGAGGGTATAAAGGGAATACATTTTCTTTTTGTTTGGTAAAATTATTTTATTTTGCATCAAGATCCTGATCTGCATCCAAATACACAACAACACGCACTAACACAGATTAGTAAAGTCAACAGGTTTGGAAAACATCCTACATAATAACTCTGATGCATCAATCTGCATGTTGCTGCACAAAAGTAAATGTGTGTAGTTTCAGGTTTGTGATGCGTTCAAGAGTCGTGTCAGTTAATGTCAAATCAAATCAAGTTTATTGTCATTCTGCTGTACATACACAGTAATACTGGAAAGATGAGAGCGTTTCTTCAGGATCCAATAACTTAAAGCAATTTAAAAGGAGGAAATTCTGGCAAAAGGAAAACTGTGGATTATGAGTGACATTTTGTCAGACTAAAATTTGACGAAAATGGGGGAAAAAAAGGAGATGAAGAGAAACACTTTCTGGAGTTTAAACCAGAAACATCTTCCTTGACCAAAAAGCAATCAAACTAAAACTGTATCATTGCCTCTTACAGACTTTTCTTTCTTCGCGTTTCAGCAGAGCCACTTATATGATCCTGAATATGCAAAAGCATGACGAGGGTGGAGCATGAGTTCAGGGTGGAGGACGTTCTCACTGTCGTCGTTATCATCCAGGCTGCGCAGCAGAGCCGGTGGCTACAAAAACTAACTGTTGAAGATTTCTCACCTTTTGATATTCAGGTAAGACTTTTTGTTGTTGTTTGCTTTGAATAAATGTGTCGAAATCAGATTTTTGAAAAAACTAAATTTGATGAGTAACCAAATGAAAAGAGAACTAAATATGCACACATTCAGTTTATATGGTAGTTATTAGTTTGGACACAGTTTGGTTGGTATGTAAAGCAAAATTTAAGTAGTTTTAAAAGGTTAGAAATAAATAGGATCTTGAATTGGTATCGCCCTAAAAGAGAAAGTCTAGACGACTGTATGTGACACATTTAATCTCAGTATGTTTGACTGTTCTGATCAGGTGCACATCAAGAAACCATCATGCACACAGAAATAACTGGATATTTACAGCCAATTATTCAAGAAGTTGAATGAAGACGTTTTTTTCAACGGTATCAGTTTTACCCAGCAACATTTACCAAACATTATGTCGACTGTTTGCTCACAAATAAAACATTCTGAGTTAATCGCTTCAGCAGGAAGTAGTTATTAACTGAAAAAACACTTTCAAGATCTGAAAAGAATGAATGAGTTTTTAAAAATTCTGATTCAGTCCTTACAATCAAAATGTCATTATTGTTTGTCTGCAGATAATTTCTCATGTGAGGGGTTTCACTACATAAGGAACATCATCATTCTGTCGTCTTTCACAAAATATTCAGTACATGGTGAGATTAGTAAAAGAGCGATCACATCAGATTGATACTGCCACTGCTTAATCTGATGTATTACTGCTTGGTTGCACACTTGAACTTCTATGGATGAATAAAAACGGACTCTTGAGGACCTCTGACAGGATTTTCCACTTCAAACGTTAAAACTAGTTTGATGACTTTATATTTAGATTTCATCCTTCCTTTCTGATTCTCAGAGATCCAAATTGGATTATCCAACTCTGTGGCTAACACTTTAGTGTAATTTGTTTATCTGACAAAGCTAATCTACTTATTTACTCATAAACCCCAGCGCCTATTATGTAATAATGATTTCCTCTTTCCTTGCAGGGACGGATGACTGTCATCTAATAAACAGACAGCCAGAACTTGCCTTTTCTTTTTCTTTTTTTTTTTAAATTCCTCGTTGCCATCAGGAGGACAAGCGGAGACATCACATCATCTTAAGGACGATCCTCGCCGTCACCAAGGAAGCCTGCAGGGTAGCAAAATGTCAAACACTGACTTCGAGAGACTTGAGTTTTTCCGCTACATCCTGAACGGCTGCGGTGACGATTCACTCTGTAATAACTCTCAGCTGATTTTTCCCAACATCAGCATCGACTACGGGCTGGAGATTCTTGATTATGGATCCCCCTGGTTGAGAATCGTCATCTCGGTGGTGTATTTTGTTGTGGCCACAGCTGGAGTGTTGGGGAACTTGCTGGTGATGTTCCTGCTGTATTCTACTCGCACCATCACTACAGGCACCATCAATTTCTTTGTTTTCAACTTAGCTTTGGCTCACCTGCTCTTTTCACTGGCCTTACCGTTCTGGGCTGTGGACATTGCACTGGACTACAGCTGGCCTTTTGGCTTGGCCACATGCAAGGTCGTGTCCTTACTCACGGGCCTGAATGTCTTTGCTAGCTGCTTTTTCCTCACAGCCATGAGTTTGACCCGGTACTGCTATGTGGCCACTGCTCTCAAATCCAGTGCCTCCCTGTGCAGCCGACCTTTCACCCCACCTGTGGCCACGGTTTTTATCTGGGCCGGAGCGCTCATCATAGCGGCACCCCGAGCTGTGTATGCACAGCTGAAAAATGTGGGCAGTGGCAACGACACAGCATGCCTGCTCCGGTTCCCAGATGGTACGGCCTGGCTTGGAATGAATCAGCTCCTGCGAATGGTGCTGGGATTTCTGCTGCCCTCCGCCATCCTCATCCTCTCCTACCTGCTCCTGCTGCGCTTCCTCTGTCGGCACAAGCTGAAAGGCAGCAACTCCTGGAGAAAGGCTGATATTTCTAAGTCTGTGGCGGTGGTGGTGCTTTCATTCTGCGCCTGCTGGTTCCCGTACAATGTCCTCACTTTCTGGAGCTTCCTGATCCAACTTGACATCGTTGACATCAGCCCCTCGTTCTACTTGGCCCAAACGTACTTTTTCCCTCTGGCCAACTGCTTGGCTTTCACCAGCAGCTGCTTCAACCCTGTTATCTACTGCCTGGTTAGGAAAGAATACAGAGCGGCCCTCCACAATGTGCTCCTCAAATTGAGTCTGGCCATTATGTCCAAGATGCCCTATGGCATTAAATCTGAGGAGGGGTCAGGGCAAGCTGGGCAGCTGGCTATTCCACTCAACGACATGTACAGCCAGACTTCCCAAACTGACACAAGGAGGTATGCAAAACTGTCACCACTTCCCACCGTAGTGTCCGCTCTGTAAAGCCAGTGATTACACGATATATGCTGACACTTTTTATGAAACACAAGTGTTTTCTGTAACAAGATTGAGATGTTTTAAGAGTTTTGACTGTGTGCTTTGGAGAGACTAGCCTTTTCCTCTGAGGATGTGCAGCATGTATATTTTAAATCTGTTGGGAGATGATGCATCTTCAGAACTATACCTAAGCTTTTGTGGGTCTGCAGAAGATTTGAGCCTTATTCACTGACTCTGCAACGCTCTTTCCAATGTCCATTTCTCCTTTTATTGTTCGTATTGTTACCACAAAACACTATACAATAGTGTGCCATTGTTTAAAACCTTATTACAAATGTATTTGGACCAATTAATGTTGTTGCATTGTGGTGATGTCCAGGTATGAAAACATTTTTGTCAATTGTTTGAATAGAAATTATGAATAAAATATATGGATCTAAACTCTCACGCTTTATTTTGTATTCTATATTTGCTTTTAATGTGAAAGGAAAGTGGCTAACAGAGGGAAAAAAGTGACGAGTTGGCCTCAGGTTTAACAGAGCATTTAAATCTGAGGATGAATCTGTTGAGGTACATTTGGTTTGAAGGCTTTAAATACTGTTTTGACAAAGTAACATTTTGTAGAAAAAGGGAAATATCTCCCATATGGCACGATATATAAAATTTTGTTTGTGTTTTATTTCAGGAATATGAGTTTCAAAAAATCTGAATTTTGTCTCAAAAGATTCATAGATGTATTATTTCAGATCCAAAATCCTCCTCTGCTGCTTTTTCTTCCTTCAGTGTGCCACAAGATGGTGCCATTGTTTAATGTTTAAAACTAAAGAGTCATAAACTGGTAACACACTACCATGGATTCACCTGTTTTCCAGGAGGCTGGACAGTTTGAGATAATTCAGCACAGCTTTAAACATCACAGACTTATCAGAATGGGTGATGAATATTTGGACACCAATCAGATCAACAGTGCAAACATTTGTCCAACTAACACGTAGCTACTGCTAGCAGCTGATTAGCTTAGCAAAGGTAACAATTTGCTATAGTAGAAAAACACTATTTATACAAATAAGATAAAGTGTGCTACTTACTGAGCTGTAGAGATGCTGTTAGGTACATTTTTGTTTCCTTCAGGCGGACACCAGGCTAGCTGCTTCCCCTTGTTTCCAGTCTTTATGCTAAGCTATGCTAACTGGCATCCTAATCCAGCCTTTTATCAGAAAGGGCGATGAATCTTAGGTCGCCAAGAGTGTTCAATGAGATCAACAGTGCAAACATTTGTCCAACTAACACGTAGCTACTGTTAGCAGCTGATTAGCTTAGCAAAGGCAACAGTTTGCTGTAGCAGAAAAACACTATTTATACAGATAAGATCAAATGTGCGAGTTACTGTAGAGATGCTGTTAGGTACATTTTTGTTTACTTCAGGTGGACACCAGGCTAGCTGCTTTCCCTTGTTTCCAGTCTTTATGTTAAGCTATGCTAAGCTATGCTAACTGGCATCCTAATCCAGCCTTTTATCAAAAAGGGTGATGAATGTTAGGTCGCCAAGAGTGTTCAATGAGATCAACAGTACAAACATTTGTCCAACTACCACATAGCTACTGTTTTGCTGATTAGCTTAGCAAAGGTAACGGTTTACTATCGTAGAAAAACACTATTTATACAGATAAGATAAAGTGTGCGAGTTATTGTAGAGATGCTGTTCGGTACATTTTTGTTTCCTTCAGGCGGACACCAGGCTAGCTGTTTCCCCTTGTTTCCAGTCTTTTTGCTAAACTATGCTAACTGTAATCCAGCCTAATGTAATGGTGTTAAAATATATAAATGCACGTTATTTCGGACTGATGATTTTATTGGTCAGCAAAGCACACATATATTTAAAGGCAGTGCAATGGCATTTCCAAGGCACACTGACAAATGTATTTCACTACATAGAGACAACAAGGTGTTCTACAAACATAGCTGTTGACACATTAAGCATAAATACATTAAACGCATATAAGACTGATGAAGAAGTGTCATTTTTACAGAGAGGACAGTGAGGGAAGCGGCGAGAGCTGTGAAACCGATTCACCTTCATTGTGTTGCTGTGTGTGTCGGGGGGCAGTTGGTTGCCTGCAGTCGTTTGGCATCACACAGATCTCTGATGGAGAGCAGCTGACATCCCATTACCCACTCAGCCACTGAAATGACATGAGGGAATGCTGAGCCAGGTTGCGATGAGTGGCTTGAGAGGACGGACTGTGATTAGTTGTGACACGAGAAAGCTGTTAGCTGACAGAGGAGGAGCATTGTTTGTCGTATTGTGATTTGGAAGGAAGAGCTTGATCCCTTCATTCATTTGTAATGACAGAAAGGCTGTTTAGCTTCTCAGCATCATCGAAATATTTCACGTCTTAACAAGCTAAAGTCTAAACGGGCATCGCTGGAGGTGTTGATATCAAATATGTGACAGCAGCGGTGAATACAGATGGGGTTGAGGCCAGGGCTACCTTGAGCTGGACTACAGTGCCTATAAAAACCTTGCTTTAACGTAAAACCGTAAAATGATTACACAAGTTTTTACCCCTTTCAAGTCAGTATTTAGTAGATGCACCTTTAGCCGCAATTACAGTATTGATCCTGTGTGAATAGGTCTCAGTCAGTCCTGCACTGGATACTGCAATTTTACCCCTAAAGCTCTGTCAGGTTGCACAATGATGGTGAGTGAACAGATCTTTTCAAGCCCAGTCACAGATTTTAAATTGGACTGAGGTCTGGGCTTCGACTCAACACCACTCCAAAACATTCACCTCGCTGCCATTTCTCTGTAGCTTTGGCTCTAATGCTTTTGTTTTTGTCCTGCTATGAAACAAATCTTCTCCAGAGTTGAAATTCTCTCAAAGACCGCATTAGGTTGTCCCTCAGGATTTCCCTACACTTAAGTAAATTCATTCATTTTAACCTCTACTTTTACAAGGAGTCCAAAGCTGGCTACCGAAAAGCATCCCCATGTCATGATGCTGCCACCGCCATGCCTCACAGTGGAGATGGTGTGTTTGTGATGATGTGTTCTCTCTACCTTTGGCTGTATTTTTAAGGTTATTGTCTTGCTCTTGATTTGTTTCATCAAATCAAATCAAATCAGGTTTATTGTCATTTCGCTGTACATACATACATGCGCACAAACGCAGCGCCCCCTTCAGGAGACAGCGACAGCCAACGTTTAGTGTCTTATCCCAGACGTTTAATCCGCAAAATTTGCTGATTGAATGATCCTGAAGAAACGCTCTCTCATCTTGCTTGTACTACTGTGTATGTACAACAAAATGACAATAAACCTGATTTAATTAGGGTCCGAGCACCCAAAAGGGTGCGAAGACCCTATTGGAACTGCTCGGATTATTATTATTATTCGTGCCAAAGACACGCGTTTTTGAGGCCCTAAACATACTCGAAAACTCACCAAAATTGCCATG